CACACACACACACACACACACACACACACACACACACACACACACACACAAACCTGTTTACTTGCAACATCTGGTCTTTCTTTGTTAAAACTTCGAGCCTCACTCCATTTTGCTGATAAGCAGCTGATGTTTTGTTTTTATTGTTCAAAGGCAGCAAGCTGCTTTCACAGCAAGATCTGCCCCACCCCCACACAAATATTTGTGCACTTCCTAATGAGAAAAATCCATAATTTAGCCAAAATAGGGTTACACAAACACACATGTACACTCGTCTTAGTGCATACACTTATTACATGCACACTTTAGCCACTCCGACAACTATAATCCCGACAAGCACTCATAAAACAGATATGCAGGGAGAGTTTATTTTTATAATTGCAAGTGTAAATAAATGCCCACAATATGCATCAGAATCCATTGCTTTTTAATTAATCTATATTTGAGGTAATTAGAGTTCCACTTAATGGAAAAACACACACAATATTCATCAGTTGGATGGTGGCTTTTGCTTGATTTCAGACAACTTCAGACTAATTCCTCACACTAACAAAAAAGTAGACACTAACTATTATATCAATTGTCAACTGTGACAGTTCTTTTCCTGGCTTGTTTAACTCCTTTTTTTTTCTCTCTCTTTTTTTTTGTGATTCAAGTTTTGCCCTGCTGGACGGGACCTAAAAATGTCACCACCTGAATTTAACTAAGCAAATAGTAAGAGACTCCCATTGGACAGGTACTACATGGATGATTATGTTTCAGCTGACAAGTTATTTAACTCTAGCTTGATGCAGTGAATAGCTTCTTATTTGTTGAATAACCATGTTGAAAGACATCTTGTGGTCGTGGAAAATACAGTATATTCATTTGTTTCAGGTAGGTCAGATTATTGTCATCAAGCAGAAAAAAAAAACATTTAAGAAGAGGAATAAAACTACTAAAAAATCTGAAAATGCGAACTTAACTATGCATTATTTAAAACAGGAAAGGACAATGGGAAAACATCATCTTCCAGGAAAGAATGGGGTCAGAAAAATATCTTGAATGATGGTGATCACCAATCACTTAAACATTTGGTGAAATCAAATTGTAGAAAGACATCAGTAGAACTCAGATTTGTTTAATAGTTAAAGAGCATTTCTACTTGCATTATGAATGACCAGGTTATTCCAACAATGGATTTTTTTTTCTATTAAGCTTCCAGAATTCAAGTTTTTCTAAGCCAAAAAGGTCTACAACAATGCACTGGTAAGTAAAACCGATTTTATTATGAAGTGGTACCTGTTTCTGCAGGAGAGAGGAAACAACGGTCAGCTGTGATTAAGTTACGTAGTCGAACTTGGCTTAATTTGAGGAAGTTCGTTGATTTATTACTTGTGTATTGTTGTAGGTCTGAGGAATAGGCAAAGGAAAGAAGGAAGGAAGGAAGGCGAGTTGGATTAGTGGATGAGCTGAGACAGCCAAAAGGCCGGATACAGGGAAGGACTTGCTGAGCACCTTACTGTTTAAGAGGAATGAATACGGAGACAAGAGTATTATGACAATAAGATTTTGAAAATCAAGCTTTTTGCAGAATATAGCTAAAAATAAAAAAGTACATTCTATTTAATTAACAAAAAATATGTTTATACCAGCTCTGTATATTATTTTAATAGAACAATAACTGTCAAGCAACAGGCAGATGTAAATAGTGATCAATAGATTTGATTAATGAGAAAATATAAATGATAAAACCTACAGAGACATGATTTTTTTTCCTTAACAGTACGATCCTGCACTGCTTCATCTACATCCCATCATGAATGAACATATCAAGGTCAGTGCACGGTTCGGTTTACGGCTGAATAATTTAACCAGTCTGGAGATTTTATGCATTAATCATTTTAATTTGAGGAAACTTCTCAACATTAAATTAATTACAATTGCACGGAGAAACCATACCTCCTATTTTACTCCAATATGATCTGAAAGATAAACCTTCACACAAAAATCTACAATGATAAATGCTTATTTTAAATTAAACATGTTTATTCAATGAATGCATTTTTTCTGCTGCCTTTATGTTTTAAACAAAGACCTCATGTGATCTGTTCATGCTCCAGGTTTGTGTTGGGGATAACTCTTACCTACCACACAAAATGTTAGCGCAAAAGCTGAAACACTTAATGTTATGGCCATTGTTGTTTGTTCAGGTTGATTATTTGCTGCAACCAATTTAAATCAGAGTGGCTCAAAAAGTGAATTAGATGTGCATTCTCTAATTACCTTGTGGGCTTTTTTAATAAAATCTGTCCAGTGGGTCATAAGTACTGTGCTAACAGACACACAGACAAACACATACTCCCACAGAGATACAGGCAGATGCATGATAGTCTGGCTTTCACGGCAGCAGACCATAACAAGAAGCACTTGGAAAGTGCACACCTCTAAGTTATGCAAATGAGAGGGTGCAGCTGCTGAACTGTGATTGGTGGAACAAAGGTCTGCTGGATTCTGATTGGCTGTAATAATATGTCTTTATCCCTAAAAAGCAGCCTCTGGTTCTGTTGTTTGTCTTAAGTTTCAGTTTT